GCGGGCGTCAGGTGTTAAAGATATTGCTGGAATGCTCCAGCATGCTGGGCTTCGCTGTGCTGGCTCTTTCAATTCTGTGTGCAAAGCAGGTACCTCTGCGCATAGAATGCACCTACACCATAGGAAGTTATTATAAATGCAGCAGATTTGATAAAATTTCATTCAACGGATTCTAACCTCGAAAAGCAATGCCACAAGTGCCGGCGAGTACATAGGAGGTGGCGGATACACTCCAGGATCCCAGTTGATCAGAATATAGTGCGTCGAGGCACCAACCCAAAACGAAAATACTAGGATCAGCCAGCGACGTTCTGGTCGGCTTAATTTGCTCTGCAAAAATAATTTGGAAAAGAACCAAAGAACTTTAAATAATCGTATTTGTTACGTGGTTGAAATTAAAAACTGCTTTTTTTAAGTGTGATTTTCACAATAATGAATATAGAGCAGTGAGAAGTAGCGCTGCTCTCCTAAAGCAGGTCGAAGATTCGATTCCACCAGCGAGGCAACCAGTCTCTCTACGATTCGTTCAATCGCTTCGATAACAAATCTGCACATGCTGCAGTGGAAAATTCACAAAAAGCCCGGTCAATAAACCGCCACAAAAAATATAAAAGCTGCTTGCAGGAAGCAGAAAAGAAAAGAAAGGTGCATTCTGCTTTGAAAGGCAGGTACACAGAAGATGTGCTGGCAGGCTGAGTCTGCTGCACAAGGGGCCGGCGTTGTAATAGATAGCATATCGCGGCGGGTCTGAAGGGTGGTGGTTCGATTACCCTCCAGTCCGTAACAATTTTCGACAATCGGCTCCGTTCGCGATAGATGCCAAGAAGTCAAACCCTCAGTCTCAAGCCCTCGACATGAGGTGCTATCAACACATTGGCTAACGAGAGATTGCTTTTGGCATTTGCTACCACTTTTGGCACTTGCTACCGTCTCTGCTTCTCATAAATGATGGTTATAGAGAGGTTTGAAGACTTTCATGTTTTTTTTTGAAGTAATTGAAAAAGTCCTTTCATTTCCAAGGATTTCCTGATATTTAGCAGCAATTAATGGTACGGCTTCTTAACAGTTCGAGCGCAGTTATTTCAGTTGCTCTGATCAATCCTGCAGCATCTCTTAGTGGTCACTCTGCTAATCGTCTTAAAGTTAGCTTTATCTTTTGAAGGCAGGAATGCTTCGTTTAGAATCAAACAGGAATTCGGCTGGCAAACGGGTCGCTGCAGCAATTCCCGGCCACTGCACTGACCATTGCTGCGCCACCTGGTGGTCAGTCTGTTGGCGATCCTGACGATGGTTTCATTTCTTGGAAGATTACTAGCTTAGTGGTTTTTTTCAACAGAACTATTGGACTAGGCTTTAGTCATTTTAAGATGTTACTGGTGTGTGCTGGCATAAGTTGTAATCTTTACCAGCCGTGTGCATTCTTCACATTCCAAAAATCCCAGATCACTTACCGCAGGTGTTTTCTTATTAAATAAATAGGCAAAAATTGGCGCCACAATGTAAATGAAAATTAATGCAAGAAGGCATTTTCGGAGCAGTATCGATATCAAAAAATAGCCAATCCACGAACTGGCAAATGTCTCACCACAACATTTTGCTGTCAAGAGTAGCACTGCCCAAAAGTGACCACTGAAATGTCACAGCTTTTGTCACATGAATTGCAGCAAAATGGCAATGTCAAGTGAAATTTTGAAGCAGAAAAAGGCTTGCCGGTTACTGGAAGTAAATGAATTGTGTATTTTAAGCAAAAAAAATCAGTACTTCAAACAATTTGTACGTTACGTGAAATTAAATTACCAGTGAAGTAACTGGGAATCGGTTAATACAGCTTTAGCCACGAAAACA